TTTTTTTTTTTATAATTCCTTTGTTTAATTTTTGACTAATTGGAAAAAATGGAATAATTGAGACTTGTCAAAAGTGTTTACATAATTTTACCATCAATCATAACTTACTTGAAAATGTGTAGTGCTGATTCTTTGAGTGAAGATTCTGTGGATGTAGCACACTCAAAAAGAAATTTGAGCACTTCAGGCCACAGGTTGTTTGCATCATCATCTAAAAGTTACAACAGTATAAGTATTATATAAAAGACGAGATGACAAATTAGAGGTTTTGAAAGCAGCAAAGTAGAAGTAAAAAAAGACAGTGGATGGTATGCCATCTTGTTCGCATTATCATTTACTCTCTCTGAAATTGCTCAGTTTTGTCCATTTCTGAGAGACAGAGACAGTCTACCACTTCATTTAACTATTGAGACTACTGAAACTGGCATCTTTCAACACCTTTCTTCTAATGATGCATAAATTACACCATCTTTTCACTGCAAATTGAGTTGAAAAATATACTGCTCTGGACAGCTACCACAAGAAAGCTGCATCCCCAAAATACCAAACACAAAAATTGTTCAGTCTATTTTTTTTTAATTCCATTAAATATGATACATTTGTTTACTTACTGACTAAATTACGTGCCAACTCAGCCACAGCATCACAAATTTTTCGTCTAACCATAGGAACCGGTTCCTGTTGCACGCATAGCAGAAGTTCTTGTTTGCAAACACTTTGCAATTCAGGTGGCATGGCAGGAAAGAATTCATCGAACGATGCTCCAACAAGTCGTCTCAATAACACTGCTGCCATCTGACGAACCTACAAGACAAGAAAACCAAATCTCCTATAATTTTATAAAGTTGTTTCTTTCTGTTTATCTGCGTATGATTTCAAACTTTGAAATGAAAATGATTTCACACAGTACAGTCAAACCTCGATTATCCGAATTACGGATTATTCGAACATGTTTCCAAAGTCCCATATGAAATTTATTTACGGAACAAGACTGCATTTTTTAGCTCCATTGTTTGATTTGAAGAATGGGGTTCTTGTCACCTCTTTGTTTTGACGGACTTGCTAAGTTACGTCTTTTGTTAACCATGATGAAAGTAGTGTTACCAACATATGCTCGATCATCGCGTGTTTAGCACGTCCGTGTCGGACAGTCATTTGATCACAGTCGGTTCCTTTGCTCAGCGTGAATAAAATAATTCACAGGTAAAAATGACTGACGTGCACAATGATTTAAAACGAGAACATTTTCTGGAATATCATCATTCACTCAACGACTTTGTCACGAGTACGATCTACACTTATACCTACGCTATTCTACGCTATTTTACCATGTCATCTATGAAGAGAAAACATACACCACTAACCATCGAGCAGAAGAAGGAGATTCTACAACGACAAGATAAAAGAGAGAAAGCAGCAAAGCTGGCACAAGAATACAACATCGGACGAGCAACTGTTTCGAACATTAAAAAAGCACGACCAATGATCGACAAATTTATAAGCCACAGTGATACAGCGAGTGCACTAAAAAGAAAGTCTATGAAACCGGCAAGAGACGAACAACTCGACCAAGCTGTGTTTTCGTGGTTTTCACAACAGCGTGAGAAGGGAATTCCGATCTCTGGTCTGATGTTACAAGAAAAAGCTGCAAGTTTGCACGAGCAAATCCATGCCGATGAAACGCTACCCCCGTCAGATCACACCGTATCAAGTGGATGGTTGCAACGATTCAAAGATCGGCATGGCATTAGACAACTCAGTGTCCAAGGTGAAACGATGTCCGTAGATGACTGTGTTGTCGAAGAATAAACTGCAGGTCATAATACAAGAAGGAAATTATGAACTCGAACAATTGTACAATGCCGATGAGAGTGGTTTGTTTTGGCGTGCTTTGCCAGACAAAACATTAGCAGCACACGAAGAAAAACAGGCAGCCGGCCACAAAGTTCAAAAAGACCGCATCAACATTTTTCCATGCGTCAATGCTACCGGGACTCACAAATTGCCACTTGTTTGCATCGGGCGTTATGCTAATCCACGCTGTTTTAAAAACTGTGACAAGAATTCATTTCCAGTGAAATATAAATCTCAAAATAATAGCTTAGATGACTGATGATTTATTTTCATCGTGGTTTCTGAATGAATTTGTACCGGCGATGCGATCACACTTAGCCAGGATGGGACTCCCACAGCGCGTGATACTGCTAGTTGACAACGCCGGTTCACACAGTTTGAAGGGCAGCCAATTAGAATCACCGGATGGTAACATCAAGTGTTCTTTTTTACCGCCAAATACAACTTCAAAGCTACAACCGCTTGATCAAGGTATCATCGCAATTATGAACAAATATTATCGCCGAAACATGCTACGTGCCGTCGTCGATGAAGACAATGAAGACAAGAATTTGAAAAAAATCGTCAAAACATTTACGGTTAAGGACGCATTGTTCATGATCGCCGATTCATGGAATCGTATCAAACCATCAACTGTGGCGGGGTGTTGGTACAATGGACTTCATGTCGGCGACCATGGCAATGAGCAAGGCGTGAGTACCAACGAAAGTGAGGAGATAACCGCTGAAATCAACAAGGCCCGTGTTGATCTAGGATTAGGAGTCATTGCCGAGAACGAACTTGATGCATGGATCAACTGTGACAACGACATTGGGTCAGAGACTTTCACTGAGGACGAGATTGTAAAGATTGTAGCCGAAAATCAAAAAGACGACATTGAAAGTGACAACAACGAAAAAGAAAACATTACATGCCGCCCAACGCACAAACACCAGCAGTCCCAGTGACTGACGCAATCGACGGAATGCAACTTTTTATTGACTGGTCAAGAGCACATCGATGCAGTGAAACTTATGCAGTTACGACAAATGCTTTCATTCGCAAAATCAAAAAAACAACAGAAAGTGAAACAACAGCGCCTGGATCATTTCTTTGGGTAACATTTACGAACATTTTGCACGGACTGAAACTGAAACAATATTGACAATATTGAGTGACTTACCTCTGGCGGAGAGTTGTGATTTTTTATAGCTGGAAGAAGAAACACAACTTTATTTTGAAACTGTAACGTATCATAGGCAGCCTGGAGAAAAAAAACCCACAAGTATAAGAACAATAATTGATCAAGCACAAGAAAATGTTTTCATTAGTTTCATAAATTTGCAAGAATCTTGAAGAACATGTTAAGAAAGTGTTAATAAATATGATATAAAATATTTTAATTACACCTTGAATCAGTGCAGAGTTCTATTCACTGAATGCCACTTTACAAACGCCAGGTACAATCCTAATCTAATCTCATTTTGGTCAGTTATTGACAGTTTATATGATCTGTTAAATGATACAAACACTGAACATGAAGCAATTAAGAATGAG